AGATTATTGTACATAATAAAGTTTATAGCTTATGGTAAATGCATTCTTGGAGGACTTTTGTGTTTCAAGCTATTGAGTGAATGAATTAGCTAATGAAGAGTTTGTTTTAACTTAGCAAAGGAGATACAAAATCATCTAACATGACACTACAGCATTTAGGGCCAATTTTAGAAGGAAATGATTTTGATTTCTGTCATTTATTTATACAGTATTTTATGAATGGAATAATACAAATAATCATTTGTAAGGTCCAGGATGTGTTTCTGTTCTTAGAAAAATAGGACAATTTATTCCATCCATTTGATGGTATACTTGTTCCTTAGAATAATCTCATTTTTATGGATCTAAGCATTTTTTTTCACCTACTACAGTGTGGTCAGAAAATGGTTCTGCACCACCTTATCTGTCAGTCCTAATATAATGCAATATGGGTATATTATTTTCAAGCTTAAAAGTGCCTTTCAATTATACTTTATTACTGGGGAGGAATAAAGAGTTACTATTCTGTGCATGCTCATGACATGGACACTAATTCAAACATATTAATAGATTAAAATACTGTGATAACAATTTTGTTCTATTTAAAGCTATATAAGACCTAAATTTCCTACAAGTTTAGGAATCATGATTTTCTCTGAAGAAATGTGTAAATACAGTTGACCCTTGAACAACCTGGGTTTGAACTGCACAGGTCCACTTAATCATGATTTAAAAAAATAAACTCAGTGAGCCCTCCATGTCTGCAACCAAGTGTAGATCAACAACATAGTATTCATGGGATGCAAAACCCACCTACACTGAGGGCCAACTTTTTGTATCTGTGGTGTCTGTAGGGCTGACTATGGTGCCTGAAGTGCAGATTTTAGTATGGGTGGTCCTGGAACCAGTCACCTGCAGATACTGAGGGCTGAATGTATTTTAGTAGTGAGTAACGTAGCAATTTTTTGTTTTCTCTTTGCATACTTTTCCGCACACCGCCCCAAATGTAAGTTTCTATTTGCAAAATGGTCCAGTTCTTTTGGAAGGGTTGTGTTGATTTTATATATATGTACATACAGAATGACTTACTCATAATAAACTCAGTGTCCACGTGAACTTCTTCCAGACACTAGATTTTGAGGAACCTTTTCTGAGACTCTGTGTCTACCTGGGCAAAACTGCAAATTAAAAAATCGCTCAGTTACCAATACCTGCTTTTAATGTTAATGAGCTTTCTGACTATAATGGGAATGACAGTTTATAAAACATCCTGAGTTTATCTTTTTTATTATGCTGGTTCCAAATTTTAGGTAAATAAAGACTCATTGAAATATTTTTATTCTGAATAAAAAATTACTCTATGCATTAGTTCCAGGCATGATTTAAAAACAAAAGAACAGGGCCGGGCGCGGTGGCTCAAGCCTGTAATCCCAGCACTTTGGGAGGCCGAGGCGGGTGGATCACGAGGTCAAGAGATCGAGACCATCCTGGTCAACACGGTGAAACCCCATCTCTACTAAAAATACAAAAAATTAGCTGGGCATGGTGGTGCGTGCCTGTAATCCCAGCTACTCAGGAGGCTGAGGCAGGAGAATTGCCTGAACCCAGGAGGCGGAGGTTGCAGTGAGCTGAGATCACGCCATTGCACTCCAGCCTGGTTAACAAGAGCGAAACTCCGTCCCAAAAAAAAAAAGAACAGATATTAGGTGATACTTCTGTTTTGTTATGATGAAACTAGTTACCTTTAATTTAGGGGTAAGGTATGCATGTAGTAGAAATGTTGGTTTCCTGAAAGAAACCTTAAAACCAGCCCTATTCCTCTAAGTAAGTCCCTCATTCTTTTTTTTTTTTTTTTAAACTGAGAAGGAGTTTCACTCTTGTTGCCGTGGCGCAACCTTGGCTCACCACAACCTCCACCTCCCGGGTTCAAGCTATTCTCCTACCTCAGCCTTCCTAGTAGCTGGAATTATAGGCATGTGCCACCACACCCGGCTAGCTTTTTTGTACTTTTAGTAGAGATGAGGTTTCTCCATGTTGGTCAGGCTGGCCTCAAACTCCCGACCTCAGGTGATCTGCCCGCCTCAGCCTCTCAAAGTGCTGGGACCACAGGCAGAGCCACTGCACTAGGCCATTGTTTTTTTTTTTTTTTTTTTTTGTTTGTTTGTTTTTGAGACAGAGTCTTGCTTCAGGCTGGAGTGCTGTAGTATAGTCTTGGCTCACTGCAACCTCTACTTCCCGGGTTCAAGTGATTCTCCTGCCTCAGTCTCCAGAGTAGCTGGAATTACAGGTGTGCACCACCACACCCAGCTAATTTTTATATCTTTCGTAGAGGCGGGGATTCACCTGGTCTTGAACTCTTGATGGGGTTACAGGCGTGAGCCACCATGCCTAACTCCCGTATTCTTTCCATTCGTATCCGTATCTAAATTTCTCTCCATATCTCTCTTTATATATGGGCATACTCTCTATGTAGTATGTTTAGAAAGATATAAAGTTTGTTCAGTTTGGTATGTGTAATTAACCCAATTTGATATCCTTCCTCTCCTCAAAACTTGTATCCAGGGTGGGGGACTGTTTGTTTTTTTCACTGGATTGTAAATTACTTGAAACTTGGATAGTACATTGTATTCTCACAGTATTGATTCAGTGATTGATTAGCATCTATGTGATGATGGACAGTCCTTGGTCTCTCATTTGAAAGTTGCCTGGCACATAGCAGTTGCTAAAGTGTTAATCGAATGAATTAATTGCCAGAAATTATTTATTACCAAGTAGAAATTTATAACAAGCTGTTCAAAGACTGTAGCTTATATAAATGGCCAGATCTGACTGTCTGGAACTCATTTTTTTAAGCTCTAGTTATTTCCTTGGTTTCTTATAGTATTCTTCATTTTCTTTAGTTGTATAAATAACATGGGTTCACTGTTGAAAATTTAGAAGTTTAAAAAAAGAAAAAAAATTGTAATCCTACCAGCTAAAAATTAAAGTTATTTATATGCTTTTAGATTTTATTTTATGTAAGCATACTTATTTTTCTGAAATGGTTTCATGCTTAGAAACATATATGCTTGTAATCATATATGTGTATGTTTCTTCTAAAAGCTGAGTTTGTACATCCTGTTTCTCTGTTCAGAGCTACTGAAAATAGTGTCTTTACCTGCTGTCTCCATCCTTTTCTTCCCATTCTGTCTTAAACACACTCTAATCATATGCTCAGCTCACCTTCTGCAGCTCTTAGTTTTCAGTGTCCTCTTTGTTAAATCCAGAGGTTAGTCCTTGGCTCTCATTTTACTTTACGTATCAGAAACTTTGAAACCATTTTTCATTCCTCACTCTTGACTTGTAGTTTCTTCCTCCCTTACTGCTAGGTCTTCTCAGCCTCCTTTACTGATTCCTCTCCATTTCTATATCACTAAATGTTGCAGTTTTTAGAGTACAGTCCTTGGACTTCTAATTTTAAACTCTCAGTATCATGGCTATAAATGCTATCTGTACACTAATGACTCTCAAATGTTAAGTCTAGTGTGAAGTCAGACATTCTCCACTTGGATATTTAAGACATTTCAAACTTAATATATACCAAATCATTCTCCTCATGTCTATCACCCACAGCAAATAAACAGCTGTTCCTTTCCTAAGTCATTAAATGGCAGTTTGGCAGTTTAGGCCAGAAACCCTGAGGTCATTTGCACAGCTTGGGTTCTGTGGAAATCAGAGTGAGACAAAGACAAGCAAGCTGTACTTTTCTTAGGGAGTGCTCTTAGCATAAACAACTCCAGAAAGAAAGGGAAAGAAGGATAGAAAGATAAATTAGGCTTCAGTGCAGTCCTAACAAAAGCCTCAGCCAATCTCACAAAGACCTCTAAACAAGGATGACTTATTGTAGTTATCCCAAGTTGGGGCAAGGGGTCATGAGATTAAATGACGTTACCTGGGAAGTGAGTATAGATAAGTCCAAGGACTGAACCCTAGAGAACTACCATGTTTCTATCCCATGTCAACCAGTCAGTAGATACAGGCTGCCCCACAAAGTGGGATGAGCTTGAGTGTCTTTAGGCAAGGCGATTCCTAAAGTGTCTGACAGCTGGGAGCTGTCAGCCAGCCACAGCCCTAGTGTCGGGGAAGCAAGTCCTTCGCTCCTGATGGGAGATCTAGTGAGCACATAACAGTGTCCTCAACGTCATTCTTTAATTCCTTTTTCTCTCATATCCCAAATTCAATCCATCAAGCAAGTGTTGGTTCTATTTTCAGTATACATCCAGAATCTGACCTTTTTTATCACCCCTCTGCTACCACCTTAGTTATACCATCATCATCTGTTTTCTGGATTATTATGTTTTCTTAACTGGTCTGCTGCTTCTACCCTTGCACCCTTCTCTTCTCTACATGGCAGTTAGATTAAATCAAAGTTAGATTGTGTTATTCCAGTGCCCTGGCTTCTCTCACTTAAAATCCTAAATTCTTTCCATTGTTTACAAGGCCTTCCCACAATCTGGCCCCCATTACATCTCGAATCCTCCTCCTCTTGTTCATTCCTCTCCAGCAGCATTGAAACTTTTCAATCCAGCTTTCCAGCCTCTCTTGGCTTGCCTGTCTGCCACTGTGACATACTCCCCACTTCATCAGTTCCTCCCCATTCTCTGTTGGTTAGTGTGATAGGCTAAACCATGTCTGCCATATCAACATTAAATGACTTGATCAAGATTATCCAATGAGAAAAGTACTACGAGCTTAGAAAAAGTTCAAGCATTTTGCTTCTACCGATTTCTTTTGTTCCTTCTGTTATATCTTGGTATAAAAAATTAATGTTTTAAAGTGAAAAAAAAGTTAACATTTTTAAGCCTTCATGTTGGTCAACGTTTCCTGAAAAGTTTCATTGTTTGGTACTTCCCCCCGCCCCAAAATTTTGAGTTGACTTCTAGTAAAATGCATTACTCTTACTGCAGCTGTGTGATAAGATTGAGGTTATGCCACCTCATGCGTGGAACTAATGATTTCTTGCTCTTTTCTTCTCTATACAGAGGCTTTCATCCTACTATAAAGGAGGATTTGAACAGAAAATGAGTAGGCGAGAAGCTAGTCTTATTTTAGGTGTAAGGTAGGTGTGCAGTGTAAGTATTATTTTGTTCTGTGGCCAAGCTTGTCTTTAAAAAAGAGAAAACGCTACAGTAAGGTTATACTTACATTTAAAATTATGAGTAGGAGGCAGAGGAGAAAATACCCAATTTTTCTATTTTAAAGCCTCAAATCTAAAAGTATCCCACTCCCCTTAAAAAAAAAAGACAAAATTGTGAAAGATCTTTATTCTTTAACAAGGATCTGTAATATTTGAATACTAATGTTTCAGTCAACCAAAATATCCTTTTTTGTGACACTGAATTCTCTCTGGACTCAGTTTTATAATTTGATATGTCTCATATTTTTAATTATAGTGCAGGATATGTTTCATAGTTTTTTTCTGCTTCTGCAATGTGACAGCAAGCATATTTTATTGTGCTTTTTTCACCTTAGTATCCATTTGTTGTCTTTTTGGACAATATGGGAGAAAATTAATGATATTATATGATTGCTGTGTGATATCATAAAACATTTAATGTTAATAATATTTTCCCCTATGATAGATTTACCAAGAGTTGTATTCATTTGTTTACCATATGTTCCCTTAGAGCCCACTCTCAAATTTTTGTGGGAATTGGTTACAGTATGTCATGTACAACAAATCTTCTGATGATGTAATCAACACAATTAAGTAAATTAGTTAGTAGAGTCCTATATTGGCAAAAAAATTTTGATATCTTGTAAATCAGATTTTTTTTTTTTTTTTTTTTTTTTGTTAGAGACAGGGTTTCACCATGTTGGCCAGGCTGGTCTTAAACTCCTGACCTCAGGTGATCCACCCACCTCGGCCTCCCAAAGTGCTGGGATTACAGGCATGTTCCACCATGCCCAGCCTACATTTTTTTCTCTTTTATGACCTAGCAGGAAAAACAAAACAGTTGGGAGGAGGAGCTCAATTTAGCTTGGTGCTTTATTTAAATCTAAGAAGAGATGAGATCTCTCCTTATCAGACAACAGAAAATAGGAAATGATTTTAAGCATGAGAGTCAGATTAGGAAGTTAGCTATACTGCTAGCTATTCCTTGCTTAAAATTATCCAGAATGGCATTGTTATTTTTCCTAAAGTTTTATTGGCCTCCCAAAATACCTTGTTGGTGATCTTGAAATCTGAGTATGAAACACATTAGAAAACCAAATACAAAGAGAATATCCTTTAATATTATGCAGGGCATTTATGTTGTTAGGACAGACAGGAGTTGACTACATTTTGACATTCTCTTAAGATAATATGTTTGTAAAGTTTTATCCCATAGAACCGAAAGCTGTATAAAATTCACTTGGAAAATGTAGTGATTAAGAGCACAGACTCTGGTATCAAGTATCTGGGTACAAATACCAGTTTACCACCTACCAAATAGGTGACCCCAGTTTTATCATCTGTAAAATACAGATAATAGTTTTAATGGCATAAGGTGCCATGAAGATTAAATTATATAACATGTGAACTTCTTTTTTTGGAGGTTTGTTTTTTCTTTTTTAAACTTTTAGGTTCAGGGTTATATGTGCAGGTTTATTATAAAGATAAACTTGTGTCACAGGGGTTTGTTGTACAGATTATTTTGTTGCACAGGTACTAAGCCAGGTACTGAAAGAGTACCCAACAGTTATTTTTTCTGCCCTCTCTCACCTCCTACCCTCCACCATCAGGTAGGCCTGTGCCTGTTGTTCCCTTCTTTGTGTCTATTTAGCTCCCACATGTAAGTAAGAACATGTAATATTTGGTTTTCTGTTTCTGCATTAGTATGCTGAGGATAATGGCCTCCAGTTCCATCCACTTTCCTGGAAAGCCCACGATCTCATTATTTTTTGTGGCTGCATAGTATTCCATGGTATATATGTACTATATTTTCTTTATGCTATCTACCACTGTTGGGCATTTAGGTTGATTCCATGTCTTTGCTATTGTAAATAGTGCCACAGTGAACATATGTGTGCAACACATGGTACTTACTAACTGCTCAGTAAATGTCAGCCAACCATAGCAGATCCTCATCCTGATTCTGTGGCTTAGGCATTGCCCTGTATGATCTTGGTCAAGTTTTTTTGTTTTGTTTTGTTTTTAGCTGTTCTATACTTTGGCTTCTTCATTTTTGAATTGAGATTAATAATATTCTGCCTTGTTAGAATAACATAAGAATGATATGATAATATATAATACCTACCAAATATCAGGTGCTGAAAAAATTTTGGCTCTTGTTTCTTTCCATGTCTGTCATGAATGCAGAAGCTAGATATTTGCCCCAACACATTAAACGGAAAGGTAAATAAAACTTACCTGCTTTCCTCTAGCCCTTTGTTTCAGTCAGGCAATGTTAATTATGACAAGATAATTTAAGATATGAGTACATGGCTATGGTTCCATTTTCTGTGATCTTTAAATATTTACTATGTAGACTATATAACAGGTAGGTGAAGGCAAAATGGACCTGATCCTTTTGATAACCTATTTTTAAAATACTCTGTGTGCGCTAGATGATTCTATACATTCTGACATATTGCATAGAATGAGAATTGCTTATTGAAATGCGTATTTGAGTCTTCGCCTTATGTTTTTCCTTGCAAGAGAGTAGTGTCCTGCACTACAACTCATGTCTATAACAAAAAGCCTGAATTATTTTACAAAGCTGCCCAGGAAAATTGTTTTTATACCTGGTACAATAAGTCCTCACTTAATATCACCCATGGGTTCTTGTAAACTATGACTTTAAACAAAATAGCTATAATGGAACCATTTTTTTCATCAGTGTTATAAAGGATGTTGAAGGAAATGACATTATTCAAGGACCTGCCATACATCATTTTGCTTAAAATCACAGTTTTTTTAAGAACTATCAACAACATTGAATACTTACCGTATTGTCTGAAATGATGCACGTTTGTGATTTTTAAGCTTTCTAAAAACTTTTGTGGAACTTTGTTTATAAACTACATGTATTAGTTCATTCTCACGCTGTCATGAGTAAATACCCAAGACTGGGTAATTTATAAGGAAAAAGAGGTTTAATGGACTCATAGTTCCACATGGCTGGGGAGGCCTCAATCATGGCAGAAGGCAAAGGAGGAGCAAAGGCACATTTTACATAGTGGCAGCAGGCAAGAGAGCATGTGTAGGCGAATTGCCCTTTATAAAGCCATCAGAGCTCGTAAGACTTAGTCTCTATCATGAGAACAGCATGGGAAAAACCCACCCCCATCCATCAGTTACCTCCCACTGGCTCCCCTCCCATGACACATGGGGATTATGGAGCTACAATTCAAGATGCAATTTGGGTGGGGACACAGCCAAACTGTATCACTATATGTTACTCAAAAGCTCAGTAGTAAAAAAAAGATAAAACCAAAACTGCTTCATTTGCCGTAAGGTCCAAGAACACCACTCAGTTCCACGTACCCCCACTGCCAACCAGATGCATTCTAGGGAGCCATTTGAAATATGTGGTCTAGGTAACATCATGTTTAAAGTTACATTTTCAGTTTCATAGTAAAACTGTGTATACTGGAGGTATATCATCATAGCCACATTTAATTTTTATACTGAGCTTAAAAACTAGACTTCTCTCATGTTGTTTAATCTTTACAGCACAAACATGTATTAATATTAAAATGTATTAAGGTTTAAGAGACTTAATATAACAAAAACTAAAAGGGAGTAAAGACTGCCAGCAAACCAGAATACGTCTCATTTGCAGAGTTCACCGTTAGGAGTCTGATAATTATAATCTTAAAGGCAGAGTGTTTTGAATGCCATGTTTGCATATATGTACGTTCCTTTTTTGTGTTTACTTTAGTTCAGTGGTTGGTGGACCTCAGTGTGCATATTACTTTACGGAGTTTTATGTACAAAACCATGTGGACTGCTTTTTATAGCATAATTGATTATCAAGGATAATTTTGACTGGGTAATTTTCAGATTTTGTTTTATGTGCTCAACTAAAACTTACTATCTAGAATAAAATGGACCTTGCCATATATCTTCTAAAAAAATATACAATGGTTTAGAAGAACATTGACACATATATATATATATACACGTATATACACACACATATATAAATATATATGTCTGTGTGTGTGAGTGTGTGTGTGTGTGTGTGTGTGTGTGTGTGTGTGTGTGAGAAATTTGGGTTTTACTGAACTTTGATCTTCATTAAGGGCCACATTGGTGATGAGCTTTATGAAATAAAGTTTTTAAGCTACCCCTTTTTTACTTTAAAATTCTTTGCATAATCTTTGTAATATCAGTATTTACTAATATGGAGTATTTGTTCTTTTAAGTTGTTTACCATTTTACAGTTATTTTTGGAGGGTTATATAAAATACATTAAGCACCTGTATTATATACATTCTAAATTCTATTTTAAGATACAAATCATAGCTTCAGCCCTAAACTTATTTAGAATCTACTTAAGACAGCCTGCCAAATACACACAGAACAGCTAGAAAACATGACTAACAAAGGCAAGATGTGCTACAGAGCACCTCTATAGAGGAGGTGATAAATGTAGATTAGCCAAAGAATTCGAAACCATTATACTGGAATTTTTCAAACTAATAGGTTTTTTATTTCTTAATAGGCAATTAAACAGTATAGTGTTCATGCCTCTGGTATGATGTTTAACAACTACTTTCTCAAAATTTAGTAGTCTTTTAACCAGATAATGTTTAATTTCTGTCTGGGGGTACCTACAAGCCAAAAAGCAAGTTTAGAATGCTGCCTCAAGGACTTAGATAAACAGCCAAAAGGAATACCCTTAGGTCCTTATAGGAAAAGATTTGATTCATTTTACTCATGGAAGAATATTTTATTTGCTTACTCAGCAATTAATAGTGCATTTGCATGTGCTTGGTGAACTGTCATTTACCCACAGATTAGAGGTAGCAAGTAATTGGCAAGGAACTGCCCAAGACTAGAACAGTAGCAGAATCAAGGATTGACAACTGATAGCAAGGGGGAGGCACTGTTCAAAATAGAACTTAAATGAATAACATCTAGGTCCATTTAGCAGGAGGACAAGCAAACATCACCAGATGTTGAGAGTTTAAATGATGATGATGACAATGCTGTGAGCCATTCAAGAAATGTTAAATTAGGTCATTTGCACTTTACTTTTAGAAAGCAGGAAATATCTCTTAATACATTATCATAAGCATCCTTTATATTCATGTATGCTAGGTTATATTAATCTTTTTACCTATATTATCTAATTTAAATACATCTGGGAGGTAGGTTTTATTACTTGTATATTACATATGAGAAAATTGTAACTGAGTTTAAGCAAGACAAACTTTCACAGCTAATGAGTAGTGGAATCAGGACTTTGAACCTATTTCTGACTAACTCTAAAAGTACATGCTTTTAGGTATTACATTGTGGTTCATCCATGCAAATTAAATTACTTTGAGCTTCGCAACAACTACCCTGTGCTTTACGTCAACCATTATTATCCCCATTTGAGGCTCAGAAAAGTTAAGTAGCTTAAATAAGATAGTATAGCTATTAAGTAGCAGTAGATATTGTTGTTGTTAGTGTTATTTTTTTTTCCTTGCCTAGAAAATGTACTCATAAGCAACATTTCCAATACTGGATAAATTAGGTTTTACTCAAATAATTTTAGGAGAATGGCTAGGCGTGGTGGCTCATGTCTGTAATCCTAGCACTTTGGGAGACCGAGGCAGCCAGATCACAAGGTCGAGAGATCGAGACCATCCTAGCCAACATGGTGAAACCCCATCTCTGCTAAATATACAAAAATTAGCTGGGCATGGTGGCATGTGCCTGTAGTCCCAGCTACTCAGGAGGCTGAGGCAGGAGGATCGCTTGGATCTGGGAGGCAGAGGTTGCAGTGAGCCAAGATCACACCACTGCACTCCAGCCTGGAGACAGAACAAGACTCGGTCTGAAAAAAAAAAAAAAAAAAAAAAAAAATTATCTACTTTAATTTTTGTTTACAGCATAGGCTTACAGCCAAGCTTTTCCCATGGGTTTTTTTCTCAAAGCTAAATAACTATGAGATATAAAGAGTTCTGAGATCCTCTATAAAGATAAAATATACTAAAGCATTTGCTACATTCCAGGTATTGTTATAGCACTTTGTAGGCATTAACTCATTTAACCCTTATAGTTGCTCTAGCCCTGTTTTACAATGAGGAAACTGAAGCACTAAGAGGATGAAAATTTGATCAAGCTCACTCAATCTGATGCTGGGATTAAAATCCAGCAGTAGGCTGGGCGAAGTGACTCATACCTGTAATCCTAGCACTTTGGGAGGCTGAGGGAGACAGATCATGAGGTCAGGAGTTTAAGGCCAGCCTGGACAGCATGATGAAACCCCGTCTCTACTAAAATACAAAAATTAGCCTCGTGTGTTGGTGCACACCTGTAATCCCAGCTACTCAGGAGGCGGAGACGGGAGAATCGCTTAAACCTGGGAGGCACAGGTTGCAGTGAGCAGAGATCGTGCTACTGCACTCCAGCCTGGGTGACAGAGTAAGACTCCTTCGTGGAAAAAAAAAAAAGTCCAGCGATGTCCCTCTGGAATCCAAGTACTTGCCTGCTACACTATATTTACTGCCTTACCCCAAAATAACTTAAAAGCATATGTTTTCAAACTTACAGTATTGTCTGCAGACTCTGACTCCCCTAACGTATATATTGTTTTGTTTTTTAAATGAATTGAGAATAAGGACTGACATTACAAAGGACTGAAGAAAAACACATGTAACATTGAATCAATGATTTATTTTGATGGTTAGTGGAATTAAGTGGAAAGCTGTAATTTCATATTTGTCCACAAGATGGTGAAATTCTCATTAGGTTTTAATTTCTTGAAACCCATATAAACCATTAATTTATAATCTGCATTTGGCGCTATTTATTATAAGCACTTTGATTTCTTTTTACAGCCCATCTGCTGACAAGGCTAGGATTAGAGCAGCTTATAGGAGAATCATGATTTTGAATCACCCAGATAAAGGTAGGTAGAATTCGTATTTTTTACAATATGTGTATCAAAATATACTGTGAATTCCTTTCAAATTAAAGTCATTATAAATGATATGTAGTTGAGATGGAAGTTTGTGTGCCACATGTATTGTGATTTTTTTTCTCATAAATAGCATTTAGGTTAAAGTTGAGTGATTCACACAGATAGTGGGTTTATATTATATGCTTTCAAGAGCTTAGTTGCTGATTTTGATATATGACTTCCTGAACGCATCTGATGTACCTTCCGTTTTGATTAAGAAAAATTAAAAATATGAGTTATGGACTCTTTGGTTGTATAAATTGATTTGGGTATCACGAATTGTATTTATTTAACCTTAAATGTAAAACCACAAGAGTTAGAGGATTTCCTCCAAATCTCTGAATGTAATATGTCATAGATGATTCTGAATTTCTTAATTTTATTCTGGAGGACTGTGAGGCTGAGCCATTTGTTTTTAACTGGCCAGGTTTTTAATGTAAATTTATCTTACAGAAAGACAATTATTATAACTTTAACTACACTACAGCTGCTTGAGAGAGAAAGCCCATATGTTCATTGCTGTTTCTGCTTTGAAATAACAGATGGTAGAAAGTTACACTGTATTTCAGAAGTCAAAGGGGGTGGGTAGGAGAGTGAAGTGTTTCTTGGATTCTTATTTACAGACTTTCAGTTTTCTAATTATTTAAAAAAAAATTAAAAAACAAATTTTGGATTCCTCTCCATCCTAACCAACACCAAAATAAGGCATTCTTTTTCAGCTTTCTCACTTAATTACTTACTATAAAATTTCTTTTCGCTGAGCATCATCTCTGTTGGTTTTTGCACTTACTGTTCTTTAGCATGAATAAACATGAGAATAAACTTTGAAAAGAGGTTTTGCTGAAAATTTCTAAACAGTTTCAACAGTTCTGAAAGATTCACTCAGCTAATTTACTTTGCATTGTGGGCTTTTGGAGTAATTGGCAGAGAAAGAAATGTGTTGAAGTGCCTCCTTAAAGCCCTCTGTTTCCCAAACAGTCCCTGTTCCTTCCAGGTCAAGTGAATACCCTTCTCTGATTGATTGCAGTAGGGTCAAGCACTCCTGTCTGTCTTTCAGATGATTGACAAGTTGTTGATTGTGCCTGCTGGCAAGGAAGCAAGTTCTAAAATGTATCTAACAATATGTATTTTTAGACAGTTGTAATAAAAAAAGAAAATGTTTGTCTCTCTTATGAGCCAGTAGTGTTTAAGGAATTACTTGATTTATTCTGAGATGGTATATTTATTCGATTTGAGATTGTTGACTTTAGTGGGCTTACTAATATCCTTCTCTCTGGCCCTGTGTGGGTAGCTGGGTGTGAAAGAATGTACTTAGGAGCAAGGGGTCAGCATGTTTCTCTGGCTTCTACCTTCCAGCCAGCATGGTGGCCTTAAACATTCCTTTAACTTCTCCAAATATGAGCTTGTTATTTACAAAATGAAGGGATTTATTTCTAAAGTCCTTTTTGTTTACATGATTTAATAACCTTTTATACCTATTCAATAATGTAAAGGCTGCACCTTATATCTCTGTTCAGATCACATTTTTTTTTTCTTTTTTTTTGAGACTGAGTCTCACTCTGTCACCCAGGCTAGAGAGCAGTGGCACAATCTCAGCTCCCTGCAACCTCTGCCCCTTGGGTTCAAGCGATTCTCCTGCCTTAGCTTCCCAAGTAGCAGGGATTATGGGTACGCACTACCACATCCGGCTAATTTTTATATTTTCAGTAGAGACAGGGTTTCACCATGTTGGTCAGGCTGCTCTCAAACTCCTGACCTCGTGATCCGCCCACCTCAGCCTCCCAAAGTGATAGGATTACAGGGGCAAGCCACTGTGCCCGGCCTAGCTCACATTTTTAACTTAAGAAAGATGCTTTTAATTTTTTTGGATTATTTTACTCTCTAAGAATATATTGACAACTGTGGACCTTCTTTTCCATATAACTGCTCATTTACCCAAAGTTTAAAAACACTTGGAATTTCAGAAAGTTCGTGTGCTTCCTAAAACCCATCCATGTACTTACAGTTAAGAACTCCAATTAAGGAATGTTGGAACTTATGTTTTTGATGGAGTTGGAGACGGTAGCTTATGCATCTGAAAATTATCTTTTAAGAAGGAAAGTTGTTTTGTTTTCAATGGGAAGATAAAAGATTTTAAATAAAAATGCCTCACTGCCTTTGGAAAGAGAAATCCAAGAGTATTTGGGGAAGTATGAGAATGGGCAGCTTTTAATTTTGTTTCTTCTTTTTAGAATCTTTCAGCATATTTACTTTGGCCAGGTCACCACTGGGTTTTGTGGGTATTGTTGGTAGCTGGAAATACTTAAATCTCATTTCCAGTGCTTCTGAATTCATGAATATGTTTCCTCGCCCCACCCCACACCCAAGTAACTTTTCTGTTGGTTTTGCTACCAGCTGATAGAACAAATTTGTAATTTCAAATGTTGGACCAACTATAATTTGTCACACATTTCATTATCAGCTGTGCAAAGAAAGTGACACCAGAAAATTAGGTGTGGGAAATGGCTGAAAATAAATTTTTTGTAATTAGTTTAAAATGTGCATTTAGATGTATTTTGGTAAAAAGGAAATTTTGCTTTTTCAATGTAGTGAGATAAAAAATTAATGCAGTAAAACCATCTTAGGTCCTTGATCTAATGCTTTCAAGGCTAATATCTTTTAGATTACTGCTTTTCTTAAATTGATGAAGAAAGAGGTTGATGGTTATGAAATCAGTAGTTTTACAGTAATGCATAGAAGAGGAGAGGACAGATTGCTCAGAGATTTCTGAAAGGCTATCCAATACAGTCTTAATCAATGTGTGTTTTGCCTGTTCTTGCCAGGCCAGTTTGTTCAAGTTAAAAACAGGAATCAAAAGTAACATTTAGAAAGTTTTATAACATCACCATGATAATCAAATGTGTGATACTTTTGTACTATGTGTAAGTATTGGTCCACTACAGATTGGAAATCTTTTAAAAATTTAAAAGTACTCCTTTGCTGTAGTTTGAGAGGCACTGATCTAATCAATGCTGCTTCCTATACAAACTGCTGTGCCCCAACCCCAGGTTTTCTGATTAAGTATGTCTAGAGTGGAACCCAAGAGTTTACATTTCTAACAAAAGCCCAGGGGAAGCTGCTGACAGTGTAGGGACCACATCTTTAGAAATGCTGATATAATGTAATACGTCAACATTTGGATGATATGTAACTCTCAGTGAAGCCGTATTTCCCAAATGACCAATGAATTATGTTACAAAATCATAGATGGCAAAAAATAATAATAATAATAATTCAAAGTAAATGACCAACAGATATTAATATAACAGACTTTGAAAGTTCATTGGCATGGTTTCAGGTTCTACAATGCAACTAATCTTTAAGACACTACCACTTGTTGAGTTTTGGGTTGGCAGCAATGAAGAATATCTGCAATTATCTGAAAAGATGAATAAAATACTCTTTCCTTTCCCAGCTACCCATTTGTGTGAAGTCGTATTCATACAACATATCACAAGAGAATGAATGAAGAGGTTGATACAAGTATCAGGGTATTTTCTGTTAAGCCAGACATTAAAAGAGATGTGGCACGCACCTGTAATGCCAGCTACTTGGGAGGCTGAAGCAGGAGAATTGCTTAAACTCAGAAGATGGAGGTTGTGTTTTACGAAGCCCTCCAGTTGATTGTAATGTACACTAATGTTTGAGAACCACTGCTCTAAGGGTTCCAACTGGGTTTCTGGGGTGTTCAGTGGGGTTCCTATACCTGGTGTGTTCTGATCTCTAATCACAGTCTCCTTAGCATTTTGAAACTTCCAAAAACTTTACTGTGCTTTTCAGAAGCTTCTTGCTTTTTTTCAGAAACTTTCTATTTTGTTCTACTCTGTATAAGTTCAGAATTTGGTGTGGGTGGGTGGGTGGGTGTGTGTGTGTGTGTGTATGTAAAACACCCAACTGTGTATCATGCTCTATTTTCAAGCTTGCCTTTGTCAGGTTGTGTGTGTGTGTATGTGTGTATGTGTAAAACACCCAACTGTGTATCATGCTCTGTTTTCATGCTTACCTTTGTCAGGTTGTGTGTGTGTTTGTGTGTGTGTGTGTGTGTAAAACTCCCAACTGTGTATCATGCTCTGTTTTCAAGCTTGCCTTTGTCAGTTGGATCCTAAATCTTTCAGTCTACAGTTTTTGTCTTAGCAGTGTGTCCTTTGCCCATACTTTTAATTTCTTGCCTTACACCAGGAATCATCAATACTCCAAGGGAAAAAGCAGTTTCAGAATGTCATTTTACCTCTCCCCTTCCAGAATGTTCCCCTTCAGAATCTTTGGACCCTCAAGTGATGGTTTTCTTAGCAGTTTCTCTATAACACTAATTCAACAGGTAGGGTTTTTTGGTGGTAGTTTCATTTCTGTTATGAATTTCGTCTGGCTTTTTAAAGTTGTTTTCAGTGTGAGCATCTAACACACTACTCCATCATAACCAAAAACAGAAGTAAAGAAAGTTACTTTTAGACAGTGTGACAAATGAATTGGCTCGCAGGTCATCTGGGAGGCCAGTATAATAATCTCAGTGAGAAATAATGATGACCTAGTTCAGAATGGAGACAAGAAAGCGAATTTGAGATATGTTTTAGAAACAGAAGCAACACTTACTGCCAGTTGATTTGATACAGGAAATTTAGTATTTCCCCTTGATTTCTGAGTGAAAAAGTTAGATAGATGGTAGAGCTGTTTACTGAAATGGGGATGATCTAGAGTGGACAAGTGTATTGTAAACAGGTTTAGGAGAAAAAAATATGTCTTGATGTTAAGTGAATTAATCAGTAAATTGTCCAAGTGGAAATGGAGAGTAGAAATTGAATAAATGATTCTAGAGTTCAGAAAAACAGACTGGACTTAAGAATTTGGGAATCATCAATTTAAGATGGTGTTGAAATCAACCTTAAGAGGTCCTGAAAAGTAAAAGTATGGAT